GGCTCTGGATGTTTTTTTAATAGAATGGTAAAACTCACTTTCTGTTCTGACCACAATTTACTATACAGGAAGTAAGGTGAGCTCTCCAACAGCAGCACAGTTCGAAATAAAAATAATGTTCTTTAGTGGAGTAGACAAAGGCTAGATTTTCCCTCATTTCCTGTATGGTGAAACAATTGTCAGCCAGACCGGAAGTGAGGGAAAATCTTTCTAGGAGCCGTGAATAACGGGAAAGACACAGGATGAGTTCTTTTTTTTTGTTTTTGTTTTTTCGAAGCCCGTGGACGTGCATCAAAACTTCCCCCTGTGAACAAAAAAAGTGAACCGTGAAATCACAGCACACAAAAAACGTGCACAAGGGTGCAAGGTCCTTCCAAAGAAGGGACCTACTTTCCCGACCCCCCGGGGCGCAAGGCTCCTGACAGGGGTTGAGACTGGTGGTCCACCAACCCGAAGGCCGGTGGACCCATATCCTTCGGGGACCTGCCGAAACAGGTCCCTCACAGTACTAGGCAGGGGGGCTCTCCCGAAGAGAGACCCCCCTCCTGGGTGGGAGGAGACAGAGAACCCCGTTCGAGGCACAGAATCTCCTCCCAGCGTCAGGAATAGGCCCCGAAGAAACCTGCACCTTTCGCATCTGTGGGTCAAAATAAGAAAATAAAAAAGTGCCAATCGTGCATGGAGTGCTTAAATAATCTAAAGTGCCAGTGCACCACGCTGACAGGCCTTAGGGGCCGGAGTGCAAAAATATTGCCCCAGACTAGCCATAAGGCCTGTCTTGGAGGCGAAGTGCAGAAAATATGCAATGTGGTGTGTGACCAAGTGCACAGTGAGTCATGTGGGGTCCCATACCCAAGTGACTTTCTGCGCACCCCTGGGACGCCACCCCCAGGGGGCACAACACCACGGGCTTCTGCCGCCCCCGAACCCTCCAGCCTCGACCAAGCTTCGCATCTTATTCAGTCAGTAGGCAATAGTGCCGAGGAAACTCCCCCCTCCTCTAAAAGGGAGTCGCCACAAGCACCTACCTTCACTCCTGAGAGTACTAGGCAACCGTCCGTCCCAAGGACGGTCCATGCCTTTCCCCTCCAGAACTGATAAGAACAGATACTACACTTGATCTTAGCCAAAAGGCCGGGAAGTTCTAAAGCTTTCCAAGTCTATCAGAAACAGAAAAAAAAAGTTTTTGGCTTCACAAATGCCTGGCTGTCCTTTAACATGAGAATTCTGTATTTACAGGTCTTCCAGAAGAGGTTTGATGGAAAGGTGAACTTTTACAGAGGTTTGAAAGAGTACAAAGCTGGGTTTGGAAGAGTGGATGGAGAGTACTGGTTGGGTAAGGTCTTCAAACTTAATCTTTTATGTTCCTTATAGTGCAACATAAATCATCTCTCACAGATCTGTAGACCAAATATATACTTTAGATCTACAGGACTCAGCAAGTATTATGTTCTGTAGATAAGGGCCATGCACAATAACATTGCACACAAGTGGGTGGAGTTGGGAATCTTATAAAATCATAAATTAAGTGCTGTTAGTCTACTAAGTTAGACTTTATGGTCAAACGTTTGTGGACACCTGACTATCACACCTACATGATCTTGTTGGACATTCTGTTCCAAAACCATGGCCATTAATATGAATCTTATGCCCCCCGTGCAGTTATCACAGCCTCCACTATTCTGAGAAGGCTTTCCTCAAGATTTTGGAGTCTGTCTGTAGGAATTTGTGTCCATTCAGCCAAAAGAGCATTTGTGAGGTCAGGCACTGATGTTGGAAGAGAAGAGGGTTGAGGTCAAAACTTTGTGTGGCCACTTGAGTTCCTCCACACAAGATTCATCAAATCATGTCTTTATGAAGCTGGCTTTGTGTGCAGGTTATGCCTAGGCACACTGAAACAGAAAAAGACATCCCCCAAACTTTTATCACAGTTGTCTAAAATGTCTTTGTATGCTTTAGCATTAGCTTTCCCCCACTGAAAACCCCATCATTGTGAGGTTTTCTACCTTATTTTGGCCGTATGGTGTATTTTCAACCTAATATATTCTCGCCTGTGTAGTCATACATTTCCTGGAAGATACATCAAAGCCCTGAACAGGTAGAAGGGAATTCGTCCGAATTCTGAAATCCGAATCTGAATTCCGGATCCGAATTCCAAATCCGAGAGGAATTCCGAATCAGATCCGAATACGAATCCGATTCCCAAAACGAAACACATATATAGTCCGAATTACGAAATACGAAATAAACGAAATACGAAACTAAACGAAGCGAAACAAATTTTTAGCCGCTGCACATGTCTAGTGAATATGTGTTAACACACGTTACATGGAGTATTAACGTGTGTTGTTATAGAACAGCCCGTTTATTATGAATGGGCTGTCAAAGCACTGTAACGGACAGGGAAATGCTCATGGCTGGTTTCACAACTCAGCACACCACAATGTGCCAGTATGTGTGTTGTGTGTCGGCCTCTACTGTACAATGCATTGGGCTGCCATTCTTAATGAATTGCACCACAGCGCACCACACATAGAGCTCGACTGGGCTGCAGAAAACCATTCAATGGGCTTCCCTGTGTCTGTGTATCTGCTGACCATCTTGACCTGTTATTTTCAATCAAGGGAAGTTTTACACATTTTTTCATCACATGATCACCTGGAATTGACTTGATTTGAGAACGGAACACTCCGCCCCTTTAAATCTGTTTTTTAAATGTTGTCTTTCTGCCTGCAGGAGATTCACTGACCGGTCAAGCTGGCATGAATTTTTCCACATATGACAACGACAGAGATATATGGAGCAGCAATTGTGCAGAAACGTTTCACGGTGCATTCTGGTACAGCGATTGCCACGGCTCCAACCTAAATGGGAAATATCAAAATGGTGTCACCACGGAGTACGCTACTGGTGTGGTCTGGAGCACTAATAAAGGAGCCTACTACTCCTTTAAGAAGACGGTGATGAAGATAGCGCCATCTGTGCCGGCAGTCTGAAGACAGTTCTGTCTGTACAAAGATTTTAAGATGGTGCCGCTTGTGTCATCATTGTAACAGTAGAATCTGTATCAGTACAATCCAGATACTTGTATAAATCAATCAATAAATCAATCAATAAATCACATGACTGCCATTCATGTTTATTGACTAACAACTCCACCAATTGGAGCTTACACGTGTCTGACGACTCTTTCCCCACCCCCAGGGCACAGCGGCCAATCACCAAGCACCAGAGCTGTCCTGTTACAATAAGGGGATTGGAGTCATCTGCTACCCATACCGAGAAGTACCGGATATTTCTATTTCTTCCCAAGTGGAAAAAAGGTGAATTTATACAAGACCAGCAACACACAAACTGCACTGAATTCACTTCAATTCAAGCTGTGAATCCATTTTGCAGTTCAGCCATATCTAAAGTGTCTTCAATGCCCCACGCCAGCTGATAGTTGTAATCAGTCTTACAGTGGGAGTGGCAGCTCTGTGATGGGTAGACAGTGAAAGGATGTAAAGTATAACTAATGTAGACCCAATCGTGAAATCTCATACAAGATTTAACATGTTAATGACACTTCAGAAGTCATTTGTAATATTTTTAAGTCTTCCATTGTCATTGATAAATAATCCCCGGTGATCCCGCCATGAGGGTCCTTGTCCAGGCACTTCCTGTTATAGGGTGACAACGCTGTTAGATGAAAAAATGTATGTTAGGAAGAATAAGATAGTGAAGTGTAAGATAGAAAGCAAAAAGGAGGGGTAGAAAGTGTCAGAGGAAAGGGAATTTAGGTAGATGGGGGACGTGTCTGGTGGTAGGTTCATGAGCATGTTGCTTACGGGCTCATCTGTGGGGTCTGTGGTGTAAGATCGCGGTAATGGACGGAGGAGAAGATGATAGTCAGGGCATCAGTAGCATCCAATGAATGATTTGTATTTGAACACAAAAGCAGAGTGCCCAAGCCAATCAGGTAGACAGAAAGTTTGTCATGGTGTCCGTTTCTTTCCTCTTCCATCTTGCAAAAAGAGTTGGTTTTGTTGACCCTTTCCAGTAGGGCGGGGGCTAGGATTTCCATTGAAAGTGGATTGGGACCTTTGTGGAATTTATCAGGAGTGGAGAAGGAAAATTCTTATATTTTGGTGAGTTGGTCTCTTAAATGTAGGAGACAACGTTCTGGGGTTAGTGTAACAGTATTACCTGAAATGTTCACAATGTTTCTGCGAATGAATCCCTGGAAAGATTTATTTCCATTGCATTCCCACCAGTTCCTTTCTCATTGGAGCATTTCCAGCACAAAGTTGAAGCAGAAGGATATAGTCTACGTCAGGGGTGCCCATTAGGTAGATCGCAAAGCGAACACTGGTAGATCGCGATCGGCTCACTGACCTGTGTCCTGTCCTCCCGCGGTGCTCATGCGGCTGAATGGGTCAGACGCCGCAGATGGGAAGGAGAGAGGAGACTTGGGAAGCTGCTGCAGTGGAGGTAAGAAGAGACAGACAGGAGAGAGACAGCAGAGAAAGTGAGAGAAGAGACAGCAGATAGAAACAGGAGAAAGAGAGCGCGAGGAGAGAGAGAAGAGAGGGCCAGTTGACTTCAATGCACCGCCACGCCCCCTCCCGCCCCCGAATACGGGTGTTTTTTCATTGGTGGATCTCATTGAGCTCGTCATTAGAAAAGTAGATCTCCAGACGAAAAATTGTGGGCGCCCCTGGTCTACGTAGCTTACTGGGAGTAACACACCATTGGGCCGGCAATTTGTATGATGTTTCTTGCATTCTGGTGCTTCTCTCTGTGGTCTAGTTGGCATGCGGAATACCATTGTTGATCAGTAAATTACATTTTTAATTTTAGTAATTGTATATATCTAATTTTTGTCCTTTCATATGCACATCAGATTAAACAGGACACGGATGTAACACGGATGTAACAGGAAAGTCATGTACCCGGAGAAAGGATGCGTTTTCTCAAGGTGTGGTGTCCCAACACAATAGTCCTATTGTGACATAGAGGATCACACTGTATACAGTATATAAAGTGTGTTAGCACAGCAACTGTCCAGACCCAGAACCAGGACACAACCCAACATACCATCTGACTCGCAGAGTCTCGTGTAAGTTGAGAAAAGGAACTTTGTGCTGTGTGGTTGGTGAGTATGTACAGTTATTCCTGTTAATTGTTACTGTCATTACAATGGACTCAAGTCAGCAGCTCATGTCTCTACACTTGGCTCTTGGCTGCTATAGGTGGCTGACCCGCTGACACTCGGTGACAACCCAAGCAGAGCAGAGCTAGCTGTCCCTCTCAACTCCGGAACTCCGGAGTTCTGTTTTCACAATAGCTATAGGATGTAGAATATTTTTTGCAATATGGACCTTAGGTGTGCAAGGGAAAAAGTCAGAGGCTGCTGAGACTTGTAGTTTGCTATCAGACTCTGGGTAAGAAAATACTAAGCATGTCTTTTCTCAGCAGGTAGAAGATGTGGATCTCTCTCACCTCCTTCACTCTGTTCCACGTTATACACAGAGCCTGTCATGCTGCCCAGGAGGTGCCAAGGAACCAAGATAACAGTATGAGAAACTAGATATTTATGATGTGGTCTTTGTTACATTTGCTAGTAGCCTCCTTGAAACATTCGCTTCCTTCAAATATTAATTAGACTAAATGATCTCCGAAAAAAACGACACCCACCATCATTTCTTGTCTTTGCTTGTTACGTTTTAAAATCCAGCCAAAACTTTTGTTTTCCTATTACATTTCATAATTTTTATTGAAGCCCCTACAGTATCTCAGGGGGGATATTATGTGAAATGTATGTAAAGCCAAAAATGACAAACCAGCTTTCTGCTTTCAGGAAGATGTTTCCGGGTTCTGCTCAGGCACAATAAATGTTTCTAATGCTCCATATAACACAGCAAGTCTTCACTTCTTGAGTTCCGTTTGAAGTCCACTTCAATTCTTCATGATTCTTCTGTTTCCAGTTAATATTTGTTCTGATAGCTGTCACCCGCATGACTGCTCCGATGTGTGGGCTCAAGGTCTGAAGACAGATGGAGTATATCTCATCTACCCCGGGGGACTCCCCACCCCCGTACCTGTGTACTGTGATATGACTGGAAAAGATGGACCCTGGACTGTAAGTACTCAATCACCCATTCCTGATCCTAACCATTATCATCCTCCCAACTACTCTGAAATCTATGTGAAGGTTCTCATTTATCCCGGTCATGGTATAGCTAGTAGTGGTTCTTCACACTCAACTGGACTTGTTTTACAATGTTGAAAATGCTTATGGTTATCCATATGTTAGCTTCATCCAACCACCATGAAATGTGTTAAGATTTTGCTAATTATTGTTATAATGTTATATTCCTGAAAAGGTAAAAACATGAGAGGATCAAGTGATAAATGTCACATACTGAGGTCCATATCCACAAAGAGAGAGAGAGGCAAGGGGATTAGAGGAGTAAAGCTGATGCTTCATGGACACACCTGGAGTCACAGGATAATCACAGGATGCTGTGGGGTGCACTGGGGTCGTGGGGGTGCATAGGAATCACTGGCGAGCAAAAGATGCTCAGTGGTCACTGGATGACACAGGAGACTCTGGGGTCACTGGGAATATACATAAGGAGCCAATGTATTTGTTGACACTGGCAGCAAGGGAGGCTTGGAGGACACAGATCACTGAGGGCAGGTAAGAAGAGCACAGATAAGATTTTAGCAGGGGGGAGCTCAGCTTAGGCATAGTGATACTTTGCTCAAACATTGAGCCACTTGCACTTCACAGTTTAAAGCTGTACAGAACAGGAGACCTGGGAAACCTGGAAGTGATGGCGGCTGTGGGCTGGAGGGGAGAACCTGCGCTGGATCAGGGAGAAAGAGAGTGTGCCAATAAAATTTCAACAGAACCAGTGCGTCTGCAGCCAAAACTTTTTTGTTTTTTTTTTGTTATAGAATAGAGAAGGAGTAAAACTCACTTCCTGTTCTGCTGATTACAATTTACTATACAGGAAGTAAGGTGAGTTCTCCTACAGCAGCACAGTCAGAAATAAAAATAATGTTCCTTAGTGGAGTATAGGAAGGCTTGTTTTTCCCTCATTTCCTGTATGGTGAAACGATTGTCAGCCAGACAGGAAGTGAGGGGAAATCTTTCTAGGAGCCGTGAATAACGGGAAAGGCACAGGATGAGCTCTAAACCTTTCCAAGTCTATCAGAAAAAAAATAATAAGTTTTTGGCTTCACAAACACCTGGCTGTCCTTTAACATGGGAATTCTGTATTTACAGGTCTTCCAGAAGAGGTTTGATGGAAAGGTGAACTTTTACAGAGGTTTGAAAGAGTACAAAGCTGGGTTTGGAAGAGTGGATGGAGAGTACTGGTTGGGTAAGGTCTTCAAACTTAATCTTTTATGTTCCTTATAGTGCAACATAAATCATCTCTCACAGATCTGTAGACCAAATATATACTTTAGATCTACAGGACTCAGCAAGTATTATGTTCTGTAGATAAGGGCCATGCACAATAACATTGCACACAAGTGGGTGGAGTTGGGAATCTTAGGCCTATAAAATCATAAATTAAGTGCTGTTAGTCTACTAAGTTAGACTTTATGGTCAAACGTTTGTGGACACCTGACTATCACACCTACATGATCTTGTTGGACATTCTGTTCCAAAACCATGGCCATTAATATGAATCTTATGCCCCCTGTGCAGTTATCACAGCCTCCACTATTCTGAGAAGGCTTTCCTCAAGATTTTGGAGTCTGTCTGTAGGAATTTGTGTCCATTCAGCCAAAAGAGCATTTGTGAGGTCAGGCACTGATGTTGGAAGAGAAGAGGGTTGAGGTCAAAACTTTGTGTGGCCACTTGAGTTCCTCCACACAAGATTCATCAAACCATGTCTTTATGAAGCTGGCTTTGTGTGCAGGTCATGCCTAGGCACACTGAAACAGAAAAAGACGTTCCCCAAACTTTTATCACAGTTGTCTAAAATGTCTTTGTATGCTTTAGCATTAGCTTTCCCCCACTGAAAACACCATCATTGTGAGGTTTTCCACCATATTTTGGCCGTATGGTGTATTTTCAACCTAATATATTCTCGCCTGTGTAGTCATACATTTCCTGGAAGATACATCAAAGCCCTGGACAGGTAGACTGGGTCTCCTCTATGTATTTTCAGACCACATTTCTCAGGTTAACTGCTTGTAGTTTTTCTACTTCAGGTCTACAGAATATCCACCTCCTAACCCTGAAGAAGTCCTATCGTGTCAGGATTGACCTGGAGGATTGGGACAATGTTGCTAGTTATGTGACCTATGAAAACTTCTCTCTGTCCCGTCTGGCCATTGACCCTGAAGAAGACGGCTACAAACTGCACCTCGAGGGGTTTACAGAGGGTGATCCGGCCAAACCTATCGGTATGGAAAATACCTTTATTATGTTCACATTGTACATTGTAACTGTTTCCTCACATGAGGCTCAACAATTATTGGGATACATTTCCACCAAAGAGTTATGGAAGAGTAAGTCCCTCTGTCAGGGTTTTATTACTGTCTCTGTCCCTTTTTGAAAGAAATTGAATGATTGCCTCCAGGACAGAATCAAGTCTCATCGGCATTCTACACCTCCTCACTGTTTAAAGTCTATCAGAAAAAAAATAATAAGTTTTTGGCTTCACAAACACCTGGCTGTCCTTTAACATGGGAATTCTGTATTTACAGGTCTTCCAGAAGAGGTTTGATGGAAAGGTGAACTTTTACAGAGGTTTGAAAGAGTACAAAGCTGGGTTTGGAAGAGTGGATGGGGAGTACTGGTTGGGTAAGGTCTTCAAATTGAATCTTTTATGTTCCTTATAGTGCAACATAAATCATCTCTCACAGATCTGTAGACCAAATATATACTTTAGATCTACAGGACTCAGCAAGTATTATGTTCTGTAGATAAGGGCCATGCACAATAACATTGCACACAAGTGGGTGGAGTTGGGAATCTTAGGCCTATAAAATCATAAATTAAGTGCTGTTAGTCTACTAAGTTAGACTTTATGGTCAAACGTTTGTGGACACCTGACTATCACACCTACATGATCTTGTTGGACATTCTGTTCCAAAACCATGGCCATTAATATGAATCTTATGCCCCCTGTGCAGTTATCACAGCCTCCACTATTCTGAGAAGGCTTTCCTCAAGATTTTGGAGTCTGTCTGTAGGAATTTGTGTCCATTCAGCCAAAAGAGCATTTGTGAGGTCAGGCACTGATGTTGGAAGAGAAGAGGGTTGAGGTCAAAACTTTGTGTGGCCACTTGAGTTCCTCCACACAAGATTCATCAAACCATGTCTTTATGAAGCTGGCTTTGTGTGCAGGTCATGCCTAGGCACACTGAAACAGAAAAAGACGTTCCCCAAACTTTTATCACAGTTGTCTAAAATGTCTTTGTATGCTTTAGCATTAGCTTTCCCCCACTGAAAACACCATCATTGTGAGGTTTTCCACCATATTTTGGCCGTATGGTGTATTTTCAACCTAATATATTCTCGCCTGTGTAGTCATACATTTCCTGGAAGATACATCAAAGCCCTGGACAGGTAGACTGGGTCTCCTCTATGTATTTTCAGACCACATTTCTCAGGTTAACTGCTTGTAGTTTTTCTACTTCAGGTCTACAGAATATCCACCTCCTAACCCTGAAGAAGTCCTATCGTGTCAGGATTGACCTGGAGGATTGGGACAATGTTGCTAGTTATGTGACCTATGAAAACTTCTCTCTGTCCCGTCTGGCCATTGACCCTGAAGAAGACGGCTACAAACTGCACCTCGAGGGGTTTACAGAGGGTGATCCGGCCAAACCTATCGGTATGGAAAATACCTTTATTATGTTCACATTGTACATTGTAACTGTTTCCTCACATGAGGCTCAACAATTATTGGGATACATTTCCACCAAAGAGTTATGGAAGAGTAAGTCCCTCTGTCAGGGTTTTATTACTGTCTCTGTCCCTTTTTGAAAGAAATTGAATGATTGCCTCCAGGACAGAATCAAGTCTCATCGGCATTCTACACCTCCTCACTGTTTTTGTTAACCTCTGTTGGGAGAGGCCACCACAGTACGGTCCCAAGTACTAATGTCTAACCCTTACCCACTCTATCATAACATAAAAATTGGGCTAGAGTAATGACAGTTGTATGAATGTGTAAGTCCATCAAAAACATTGTTGGCTTAGGTGGGAGGGATTAGAACCCCTGATCCCCCTGTCATGAATCTCCAACAGAAACATGAATAGATTTATTTTTTAGTAGAGTGAGTGCTAAAACCTCAGTCAGATTTCTCTTTTGCCTGTGTCCCTGTGGCAGATTTTACCTCACTTGCTGTCTGGTAATACCATTGTCACCAGGACAGTAAGGGAAGGGAAATCTCCCGAATGGGGACACAAATAGCATTAAAACCTGATGGAGGTCCAAATTCCAAATCTCTCCTGCCAGGGAGGCAGGTTAACCTAGACTTTAGGCTGAATTCAGACTTCTGTGTCTAGTTGAGGTACGTTAATGAATATTAGACATGTGCGTTTGGTTCCGAAACAAAATTTGGACGAAATTTCGGAAATTCGTAGATTCGGAGCATCCGAATTTCCGAAATATAACATATCCGAAAGCATCCGAATCCGAAATTTCGGATTGGGAACGAATTTCGTCCAAATCCTGTGCGTACGCTGTTAACATTTAAACGGATAAAAACAAATTAAGAAAATGATTTTAATGTCCCTTTAATAGTAAAGACAGGAGCGCAGCAACCAGAAATGACAAATGTGCCAATTCTGCTACCCCACCTCAAGTTGAATTTTCGGAAATTCGTCCGAATTCTCAAATCCGAATCTGAATTCCAAATCCGAGTTCCAAATCCGACACGAATTCCGAATCAGATCCGAATACGAATCCGATTCCCGAAACGAAACACATATAGGATCCGAATTCTGAAATACGAAACTAAACGAAGCGAAATTTTTTTTAGCCGCTGCACATGTCTAGTGAATATGTGTTAACACACGTTACATGGAGTATTAACGTGTGTTGTTATAGAACAGCCCGTTTATTATGAATGGGCTGTCAAAGCACTGTAACGGACAGGGAAATGCTCATGGCTGGTTTCACAACTCAGCACACCACAATGTGCCAGTATGTGTGTTGTGTGTCGGCCTCTACTGTACAATGCATTAGGCTGCCATTCTTCATGAATTTCACCACAACAACACACATAGAGCTCGACTGGGCTACAAAAAAATGTATGATTGGCTGTGCATCTGCTGACCATCTTGACCTGCAATTTGCACCAAAGGGAATTGTACACATTTTTTCATCACATGATCGCCTGGAATTGACTCGATTTGAGAAAGGATCACTCCGCCCCTTTAAATCTGTTTTTTAAATGTTGTCTTTCTGCCTGCAGGAGATTCACTGACCGGTCAAGCTGGCATGAATTTTTCCACATATGACAACGACAGAGATATATGGAGCAGCAATTGTGCAGAAACGTTTCACGGTGCATTCTGGTACAGCGATTGCCACGGCTCCAACCTAAATGGGAAATATCAAAATGGTGTCACCACGGAGTATGCTACTGGTCTGGTCTGGAGCACTAATAAAGGATACTACTACTCCTTTAAGAAGACGGTCATGAAGATAGGGCCATCTGTGCCGGCAGCCTGAAGACAGTTCTGTCTGTGCAAAGGTTTTAAGATGGTGCCGCTTGTGTCATCATTGTAACAGTAGAATCTGTATCAGTACAATCCAGATACTTGTATAAATCAATCAATAAATCAATCAATCAATCAATCAATCACATGACTGCCATTCATGTTTATTGACTAACAACTCCACCAATTGGAGCTTACACGTGTCTGACGACTCTTTCCCCACCCCCAGGGGACGGGGGCCAATCACCAACCACCAGAGCTGTGCTGTTACAATAAGGGGATTGGAGTCCTCTGCTACACATACCGAGAAGTACCGGATATTTCTATTTCTTCCCAAGTGGAAAAAAGGTGAATTTATACAAGACCAGCAACACACAAACTGCACTGAATTCACTTCAATTCAAGCTGTGAATCCATTTTGCAGTTCAGCCATATCTAAAGTGTCTCCAGTGCCCCATGCCAGCTGATAGTTGTAATCAGTCTTGCAGTGGGAGTGGCAGCTCTGTGATGGGTAGACAGTGAAAGGATGTAAAGTATAACTAATGTAGACCCAATCGTGAAATCTCATACAAGATTTAACATGTTAATGACACTTCAGAAGTCATTTGTAATATTTTTAAGTCTTCCATTGTCATTGATAAATAATCCCCGGTGATCCCGCCATGAGGGTCCTTGTTTAGACACTTCTTGTTATAGGGTGACAACTCTGTTAGATGAAAAAATGTATGTTAGGAAAAATAAGATAGTGAAGTGTAAGATAGAAAGCAAAAAGGAGGGGTAGAAAGTGTCAGAGGAAAGGGAATTTAGGTAGATGGGGGACGTGTCTGGTGGTAGGTTCATGAGCATGTTGCTTACGGGCTCATCTGTGGGGTCTGTGGTGGAAGATAGCGGTAATGGACGGAGGTGAGGATGATAGTAAGGGCATCAGCAGCATCCAATGAGTGGTTTGTATTTGAATACAGAAGAGTGCCCAAGCAGACCAAGTGGACAGAAAGTGTGTTATTGTGTCTGAGCGTTTCCTCTTCCATCTAGAAAAAAGAGTTGGTTTTGTTGACCTTTTCCAGTAGGGCGGGGGGCTAGGATTTTCAATGAAAGCGGATGAGGATCTTGGTGGAATTCATCTGCAGTAGAGTAAGAAAATTCTTATGTTTCGGCAAGTTGGTCTATCAAGTGTAAGAGACAAAGTTCTGGGGTTAGTGTAATAGTGGTGCATGACATGTTGGCCAATGTTTCTGTAAATTAGTTCCAAAAAGGATTTATTTAGTCACGTTCCAGCCAGATGTAGAGGGCAGTTCCTTTCTCACTGGAGCAATTCCAGCACAAAGCTAAAGCAAAAGTATATAATCTTGTGGACGTAGCTTACTGGGAGTGAGATACCATTGGGTCAGCAAGTTGTATGATGTTCCTTGCATTCTGTTGCTACTGTGTGCTGGTTGGCAGGAAGAATTCCATTGTTCATCAGTAAATCAAATTTTTTTATTTTATTAATTGTAAATCTAATTGTTGTCCTTTCATATGCACATCAGAGTAAACAGGACACGGAACAGGGAAGTCACAGGGAAAGGATGCATTTTCTCAAGGTGTGGTGTCCCAACCAAAGTCTTATTGTGACATACAGGATCGCACTGTATATATAAAGTGTGTTAGCACAGCAACTGTCCAGACCAAGAAGCAGGACACAACACAACATACTGACTGCCTCGGAACCAGGACACAACACAACATACTGACTGCCTCAGAACCAGGACACAACACAACATACTGACCGCCTCAGAACCAGAGCCAAGACACAACCCAACATACCATCTGACTCATACAGCCTCATGTAGGTTGCAAAACACAAGTTTAAAGGAGACTGTGCTGTGTTTTCGGTGAGTATGCACAGTTATACCTGTTAATTTTGGCTGTTATTACAATGGACTCAAGTCAGCAGAGTATGTCCGCACACTTGGCTGCTATAGGTGGCCAAGAGTCACAAAACAAGAGGCGGGAAGGAGGGCAGAGCTAGCTGTCCCTCTCACCTTCTGGGTTTTTTTTTTACAATAGCTAAAGCATGTAAAGTAGCTTTTGTAATAGGACCCTCAGGTGTGCAAGACCTCCATTTTTTAAAAGGAAAAAAGACATAGAATGCTGACTTGTGGTAAGTACTAAACATGTCTTTTCCCACCAGGTGGAAGATGTGGATCTTTCTCACCCCCTTCACTCTGTTACTCATTATACACAGAGCCTGCCATGCTGCCCAAGAGGTGCCAAGGAATCAAGATAACAGTACGAGAAACTAGATATTTATGATATGGTCTTTGTTACATTTGCTACCTTCAAATATCAATTAGACTGTATGATCTCCAAAAAACCCGACACCCACAATCATTTCCTGTCTTTTCTTGTTACGTTTTAAAGCCCAAATCCAGCCAAACCTTTTTGTTTTCCTATTACATTTGATAATTATAGATGAAGCCCCTACAGTATCTCATGGGGGATATTATGTGAAGAATATGAAAGGCCAAAAATGACAAACCAGGGAGAGCTTTCTGTTATTCAGGAAGATTTCTGGCTGGGCACAATACATGTTTCTAATGCTCCATATAACACAGCAAGTCTTCACTTTTGAGTTCCGTTTGAAGTCCATTTCAATGCTTCTTGCATCTTCTGTTTCCAGTTAATATTTGTTCTGATAGCTGTCACCCGCGTGACTGCTCTGATGTGTCAGCTCAAGGTCTGAAGACAGATGGAGTATATCTCATCTACCCCGGAGAACTCTCCATCCCTGTACCCGTGTACTGTGATATGACTGGAAAAGATGGACCCTGGACTGTAAGTACTCAATCACCCAACTCGGATCCTAACCATTATCATCCTCCCAACTACTCTGAAATGTGGTGACTGTGTTGTATGTGTAGGCGGGGTTCACTCTTGGGGTGTTGCGTGTGTGTTCCCTTTGGATTGGCTGGGTAACCTCGTGCATGCAACTCAAAACCAGACACCCCACGGTCAGGGGCCACGGCCTTGGCCTCGTGCAAACACTCCCATCGTGTAGTACTGCGTACACAGGGCCTCATGGCTTCAACCGCCTCTGCGGTCTTCGGCACTTCCTCCCCCTTAGGGAGAAAGGCCACCATGAATAGCACCCTGTGTCAGGCATAGCCCCACTGCGCACCTACCCTCCTCAGATGGTTACAGCCACGATACAGTCCAACATCACACTCTGGTAGAACCCCACCTTCTCAGAGGTTGGAGGGAGAAGAACCAGTCCACACAGATAGTCTTTTTGTTGATTTTACTTGAAATAATGAACATGGTATGAAGCATACATTTCAGCCACCCCCGGGTGGGATGACGGCACAATTCTTGTTACTTGCATGGTGATACAATTTAGAGAGAGAGGTACATCAGCCCAGAGTCACGACTTACTTCGGCCATAGGCCCACTGGCGAATATCGTCAGTCTTCTAGCACTTTACTATTCTCCGGAATCCCATCCATTGTCAGTCCTAGCACGGTGGGTTTCCCCCTGTGGGGAAACTAGGGAATCTTTGTAGCTCTACATAGTCCTAGACCTGGTCCTGTCCTTCCCATGGACCAGCCTATATTCAAGAAACAGTCCCCCTTCGGAGACTCTGCAGACAGTCTTAGACTTCTTCTGTACTCCTCTGAACTGAACTCCTTCCCCTCTCGGGCGCCCCCTATAAATCAACTTCTCCTGGGACACAGAGTTTCCCCAGGCCAGAGCTGCATGTATCTCCAGGGCCCCATGGGGGCATCTAGTGGCCGTTGGCCATACTGCACCTACCTACATATGTCTGTGAAGGTTCTCATTTATACAGATCATGGTATAGCTAGTAGTGGTTCTTCACACTCAACTGGACTTATTCTCTAATGTTGAAGAAGCTCCATATGGATAATCGAGTTAGCTTCATCCAACCACCATGAAATGTGTTAAGACTTTTATTATAATGTTATGTTACTGTATAGTGCCCCTTGACCCTCAAAGGCCTGAGGTGGATCCCCAGCAGGCAGAGAGGGCTATCATTACTCTTGCAGGGGCAGATCCGTATGCAGTGGAGAGACATGTGATCAAGAAAGTTGGGCGCCAGTCACCTTAAGTGCCTTTTTGAATGCTTATTGAAAACAGCATAACAGGGAGAGCGGGTATAGGGCTTCAGACATCCATAACAAAAATAGGGCAGACTCAAGACTCACCAATCCCTTCAGTCTTCCACAGTGCAGCTGAACAGGGATAGGCATGAGATCTTCCATAGGAGAGACACCAGACTTGTTCCTGAAGTCCATATTAGCACCTGGCACCTCAAGTAGTCATAAAGCTTTTCTGGTTGTCTTTCCCTATCATATCCAGACCCTCCAGGGTCCACATGTGGCCTGAGGCCTAGTCACTTTCTCCAGTACAGTACATGCCACCCCCAGGCCAAGCCTGAGGGTGGACTGCCCTTGCACATGGTGAGGCATAGACACTCAAGATGTTCCCCTATTGGCTGCCCCACACTGCAGCAGGGTCACCCCCCACTCAGGCAGGTACAATCAATGACAGAACTCCTGAAATTAACTAAATAACAACCAACTACAAATCAGCCAGATTGACTACAAAACTAGCAATGCTAAATTTCTAGTAGCCACTCCATAGAGGGTGGTAGGGGCTACGACTGAAAAGGTAAAAACATGAGCTGCTCAAGAAATAAATGTTACAGGCAGGGGTCTGTTCACAAGAAGCAGATTAGAGGAGCATAGTTGAGGCTGTGTGGAGACAGAGGTGTGCACTGGAGTCAAAGGATAACCACAGGATGCCATTGGGTGCACTGGGATATCAGGGTGCAAAGTAATCACTGACAAATGCAGGAGGCTCTGGGGTCACTGGCCAAACAGGAGGCTCTGCATTTTTTTAAAATAGAATGGAGAAGGAGTAAAACTCACTTCCCTTTCTGCTGACAACAATTTACCAGACAGAAAGTAACATGAGCTCTATAAGAGCAGCACAGAAATAAATAAAAATGCCTTTCTTTAGTGGAGTAGACGAAGGCTAGAACCCCTGTCAGATTTTTATTCCTGTCTGTGTCCCTGCTGCAGATTTACCCTCACTTCCTGTCTGGTAAAATAGTTGTCAACGAGACAGGAAGTGAGGAGAAATCTTTGGAGCCCAGAATGGGTTTCAAACCTTTCCATCTCTTGGAAACACAAATATAACGTTTTTGACTTCACAAACACCTGACTGTCCTTATACATGAAAATTCTGTATTTACAGGTCTTTCAGAAGAGGTTTGATGGAAAGGTGAACTTTTACCGAGGTTTGAAAGAGTACAAAATTGGTTTTGGAAGAGCGGATGGAGAGTACTGGTTGGGTAAAATCTTCAGACTTAATCTTTCATGTTCCTTAAAGTGCAACATAAATAATCTCACACAGATAATAAGACAAAAGATTTAAAGGAGAACTATGGGGTCAGGGCTTTTCCACATAGTTCTCCTTGGGGTAACGGGAGGACACAAACTAGCGTCCTCCCGTCACCCTAAGCTCAGTATACCGCGAGCTGCAGCTAGCGTTATACTGAGACGCCGCAGCTGAAGCGGATCCCGACAATTATGTCTGGATCCGCCCAGCTGCGTGAGTAACAGCTGGTTCTGCCAGCTGTTCTGCCAGCTGTACCCGCCCCCTCCCACCGTCCGTTCCACCAGTCAGCGCTGGCAGATCGGAGCGGGGAGGGGGGAATCCAGTCCCTCCCCTGTCACGGCAGAGAGCCGTGACAGGATCGAGAAGTGAGCGAACGGCGCTATGTGTTCGCTCACTTCCCGATCTACTGAGACGACCTGTGACAGTGTCATTGTCACAGGTCGGCTAGAACTATGAGGTGAGTGAAAAGCACGCACCTCATAGTTCTCCTTTAACTTAGATCTACATCTCTCAGCGACAGCGAGTATTACTTCCTCGAGATCAGGGCCATGCACAATAACATTGCACACAAGTAGGTGGAGTTGGGAATCCTAGGCCTACAAAATCATACATTTTAAATGAAGTGCTTTTAGACTGATAAGTTAGACTTTATGGTCAAACATTTGTGGACACCTGACCATCACACCTTTATAAGCTTGTTAGACATCCTGTTCAAAAGCCATGGCCATCAATATGAACCTAATTCCCCCTTTGCAGTTATCACAGCCTCCACTCTTCTGAGGAGGCTTTCCTTAAGATTGCAGAGAGTGTCTGTGGGAATTTGTGTCCATTTAGCCAACAGAGCATTTGTGATTTCAGGTACTGATGTTGGATGAGAAGACCTGGCTCACTATTAGTGGTCCTATTCCTCATCCAAATGTATTCAACAGGGTTGAGGTCAGAACTTTGTGTGGCCACTCGAGTTCCTCCACATCAGACTGGTCCAACAATGTCTTTATGGCTCTGTGTACAACTTTTGCCAAGCTATGCAGGAACAGAAAAAGACGCTCCCTAGACTTTCATCGCAATTGTCTAAAATGTCTTTGTATGCTGTAGCATTAGCAGTCCCTACATTGAAAACACCATCATTGTGAGGTTCTCCACCTCATTTTGGCCTTGAAGTATAACTGTAAACTAATATATTCTGGATGATACATCAAAGCACTGGACAGGTAGACTGGGTCTCCTCTATGTATTGTCAGACCATATTTCTCAGGTTGACTGCTTGTAGTTTTTGTACTTCAGGTCTACAGAATATCCACCTCCTAACCCTGAAGAAGTCCTATCGTCTCAGGATTGACCTGGAGGATTGGGACAATGTTGCTAGTTATGTGACCTATGAAAACTTCTCCCTGTCCCGTCTGGCCATCGACCCTGAAGAAGACGGCTACAAACTGCACATCGAGGGGTTTACAGAGGGTGATCCGGCCAAACCTATCGGTATGGAAAATACCTTTATTATGTTTACATTGTACATTGTTACTGTTTCCTCACATGAGGCTCAACAATTATTGGGCTGCATTCCACCAGAACATTGGCTACATGGAGTGTTATTTTCATCTTCATTATGGACATCACCAGATATACAGTTCAAGTGACTTCTAATAGGGAAAGGAACTCTATGTTTTGTTGCATAGATTTCAGCTTTAAAGCCTTTTTTTCTGTTTTGGATGGAATGTGGAAGAGTCAGACCCTCTGTCAGAGTTTTATTACTGTCTCTGTCCATTTTTGAAAGAAATTGAGTGATTGCCTTCGGGACAGAGAGTTTTTGTCACCCTATGGGGAGGTTTCTTATACCTTCCTGTCCCTATGACCCCCTGTGACAGAGAAGCTGGAGCAATGCAGTCACATGCATTAATGTCTAACCCTTCCCCATTATATCCTAAAAAAAGAATGGGCTACTCTACTGACAGTTGTATTAAAGTGTATGTCCAGCCAAAACATTTTAAAGTATTAGTACCACTTTTTACTGCTATCCAGGAATATTCCCCTCACCTTCTGTCCCTGATAGCAGAAGAACCTGGCGGAGGTCCTAATCCCAAACCACTCCTTCCAGGGAGGCAGATCCACCTAGACTTTAGGCTCAAATCTGACTTTTGCATCTAGTTGAGGTGTGTTAATGTATACTGTATGTATATTCATTATGAACGGGCTGTCAACACATTGTAACGGGCAGGATAATGTGCATGGATGGTTTGACAACTCAGCACACCACAATGCATGGCAGGTTGTTGTTGGAACCAGAAACTGACACAGTTTAAGACAGGATCACTCTGCACCTTTAAATGTGTTTTTTTAAATGTTGTCTTTCTGCCTGAAGGAGATTCACTGAGCGGTCACGTGGGCATGAATTTTTCCACATATGACAACGACAGAGATATATGGAGCAGCAATTGTGCAGAAACGTTTCACGGTGCATTCTGGTACAGCGATTGCCACAGCTCCAACCTAAATGGGAAATATCAAAATGGTACCACCACGGAGTACGCTACTGGTCTGGTCTGGTACCATGCTAAAGGACACCACTACTCCTTTAAGAAGACGGTGATGAAGATAGCGCAATCTGTGCCTGCAGCCTGAAGACAGTTCTGTCTGGGCAGAGGTTATAAGATGGTGCCGCTTGTGTCATCATTGTAACAGTAGAATCTGTATCAACGCAACCCAGATACTTGTATAAATAAATCAATAAATCAATCACATGACTGCCATTCATGTTTATTGACTAACAACTCCACCAATTGGAGCTTACACATGTCTGATGACTCTTTCTGCACCCCCGGGGGATAGGAGCCAATCACCAAGCACCAGAGCTGTGCTGTTACAATAAGGGGATTGGAGTCATCTGCTACCCATACCGAGAAGTACAAGATAGTTGTATTTCTTCCCAAGTGGAAAAATGAGAATTGATCGGAGTCCTACTATACACAAACCACACTAAATCCATTTCAAGTTGTGGGTTCATTTTGCAATTCAGCCTTATCCAAAAGTGTCTTCACAGCCCAACATTAGCTGATAGTTGTAATCAGTCTTGCAATGGCTGCTCTGTGATGGGTAGACCATGAAAGGATGTAAAGTATAAGTAATGTAGACCCAATCACAAAATCTCATATAAGATTTAACATGGTAATGATGTTTCAGAAGTCATTTGCAATATTGTTAAGTCTTCTTTTTTCATTGAAAATAATCCCTGGTGAGCATGCCACAAGGGTCCTTGTTTAGACACTTCCTGTTATTGAGTGACAATGCTCTGTTGCTGTGTTGTCACCCTGTCACATGGCCTTCTGATGAACAATACTTTGTGCTGTTTTACCTGGTACAGAACAGAAGGCAGCTGCAGTGGAGAAGACATTAATATATTTATCCAATCACTTGCCTGTCAACACTAAAACAATAGTTGGAAGTAAAGGGAATTTAGGTAGATGGAGGACGTGCCTTGGGTGGGTTCTTAAACATGTTGCTCATCGGAACATACAGGATTATGTGTGGGGTCTGTGGTGGGAGATGGCAGTAATGGAGGGAGGTGAGGCTGATAGTCAGGACATCAGCAACATCCTATGAATGATTTGCATTTGAACACAGAAGAGAGCCCAAGCCAACCAGGTGGACAGAAAGTTTGTGATTGTGTCTGAGGCAATGGTTCTTTCCTCTTTCATCTTACAAAAAAGAGTTGGTTTGGCTGACCCTGTCCAGTAGGGTGAGGGCTAGGATTTCCAGTGGAAGCAGATGAAGACCTTTGTGGAATTTATTTGCAGCTGAGTAGGAGATATTCTTATATTTCAGTGAGTTGGTCTCTTAAATGTAGGAGACAAAGTTCTGGGATTAGTGTAATATTGCCTGACATGTTGGCCAATGTTTCTGCGAATGAATCCCAAAAAGCATTTATTTCTGTCACATTCCCACCAGATGTAGAAGGTAGTTTCTTTTTCATTGGAGCATTTCCATCACAAAGCTGAAGCAGAAGGACATAGTCTATGTAGCTTACTGGGACTAAGATACCATTGGGCTGGCAATTTGTATGATGTTCCTTGCATTCTGGTGCTTCTCTGTGGGCTGCTTGGCAGGAAGAATTCCATTGTTGATCAATACATTTTTTTTTTTATTAATTGTAATTCTGATTTTTGTCCTTTCATGGGCACATCAGAGTAAACAGGACACGGAACAGGGAAGTCACAGGGAAAGGATGCGTTTTCTTGGGGTGTGGTGACCCAACCAAAGTCCTATTGTGACATACAGGATCGCACTGTATATATAACGTGTGTTTTAGCACAGCAACTGTCCAGACCGAAAGCCCGGACACATCCCGACATACCATCTGACTCGTACAACCTCGTGTAAGTTGCAAAACACAAGATTAACGGAAACTGTGCCGTGTTTTCGGTGAGTTTTTAGACTTATACATGTTCATTCTGACTGTCATTACAATGGTCTCAAGTCAGCAGAGTATGTCCGAACACTTGGCTCTTGGCTGCTATAGGTGGCCGAGAGTCACAATACAAGAGGTGGGAGAAGGAGGGCAGAGCTTGCTGTCATTCTCATCTCCGGGGTTTGTGTTTGACAATAGCTAAAGGATATAAAGTAGTTTTTGCAGTCGGTTGTGCAAGACTTCCACTTTTTGAAAAGAAAAAGACAGAGACTGCTGAGACTTGTAGTCTGCTATCAGACTCCGGGAAAGAAAATACTAAGCATGTCTTTTCTCACCAGGTGGAAGATGTGGATCTCTCTCACCCCCTTCACTCTGTTCCTCATTATACACAGAGCCTGCCATGCTGCCCAAGAGGTGCCAAGGAACCAAGATAACAGTACGAGAAACTAGATATTTATGATTTGGTCTCTTCACTATCTTCACATATTAATTAGACTAAATGATCTCCGAAAAACCTAACACCTACCATCATTCGTTGTCTTTGCTTGTTACGTTTTGAAGCCCAAATCCAGCCAAATCCAGCCAACAATATCTCACAGGGAATATTATTTAAAGTGTATGTAAATCAAAAATGTCACACCAGCAAGAGCTTTCTGTAATTCAGAAGGTTCTGCTCAGGCACAATACATGTTACTAATGCTCCATATAACACCGCAAGTCTTCACTTTTGAGTTCAGGTCTACTTCAATGCTTCTTGCATCTTCTGTTTCCAGTTAATAGTTATTCCGATAGTGGTCACCCGCACGACTGCTCCGATGTGTCGGCTCAAGGTCTGAAGACAGATGGAGTATATCTCATCTACCCCGGGGGACTCCCCACCCCCATACCTGTGTACTGTGATATGACCGGAAAAGATGGACCCTGGACTGTGAGTACTCACTAACCCAACTCCATTATCATCCTCCCAGCTACTCTGAAATGTGGTGACTGTGTTGTATGTCTGTGAAGGTTCTCATTTATCCCGGTCATGGAATAGATAGTAGTGGTTCTTCACACTCAACTGGACTTGTTCTCTCATGTTGAACATGCTTATGGTTATCCATATGGGTAACCCAGTAAGCTTCAACCGACCACCATTAAATGTATTAAGACTTTGCCAATTGTTATTCTAATGAGATGATCAAGTGATAAATGTCACAGACTGAGGTCCATATCCAGTAAGAGAGAGACAGTCAAGGGGAATAGCAGAGCATAGTTGAGGCTGCATGGAGACAAAGGTGTGCACTGGAGTCACAGGATAATAACAGGATGGTATTGGGTGCACTTGGGTCATGGGGTGCATAGGAATCACTGGTGAACGTGAGATGCTTAGGGGTCACTGAGTAACACAGGAGGCTCTGGGGTCACTAGGTAACACTGGAGGCTCTGAGATCACAGGGTAACACTGGAGGCCCTGGGTTCAGGAGGCTCAAAAGTCACTGAGTAACACACGAGGTTCACTGGGGACACAGGATGCTATGGGGTCATTGAGTAGCACAGGATGCTCAGGGTCATTGAGTAACACAGGATGCTCAGGGGTCACTGGGTAACACAGGAGGCTTTGAGGTCACTGGGGAAACAGGAGGCTCTGGGGTCACTGGGTAACACAAGATGCTCTGGAGTTACTGGTGTGAGAAACTGAATGCCCCAGGGTTACTGCTTGACGCAGGATGTGCAGGAACACTATGGGTTCACATGGTGCACAGGTGTGTGCTGGGGGTATGGAAGCACATAGACACTAGAACACATAAGGGACCAAGGTTTTTGTGGACACTGGCAGCAAGGGAGGCTTAGAGGACACAGATGACTGAGGCCAGGCAAGAAGGGCACAGGTAAGCTTGTAGCAGGAGGGAGCTCAGCTTAGACGTAGTGATGCTTTGCTCAAACATTGAGATACTTGCACGTCACTATTTATAGCTGTACCAAAAAAGGAGACTTGTAAAACTTAGAAGTGACGGCGGCTGCAGACTGGAGAAGAACCCCGGTGCTGGATCGGGGAGAATGTGAGTCTGACAATACCATATGAAAAGAATCAGTGGGTGTCCAGCCAAGACTTTTTTTTTTTTTTACAGAATGGAGCTACAGTGAAACTCACTTCTTATTCTGCTGACAACAATTTACCAGATAGGAAGTAAGTTGAGTTCTCCAACAGCAGCACATACAGAAATACTTTACTGGAGTAGACAAAGGCGATAGATACAGTAGATAGATAGATAGATAGATAGATAGATAGATAGATAGATAGATAGATAGATAGATGGATGGTAAGTTTGTCAGTTTGTCATAATAAGGCCTGTCAGCAAGTCTGTCAGTCTGTTAGGATGTCATGGATGCATGGCAGGTCTGCCGCCATCCCTTGATAACATCTATATGACGAAGCGTGCCGGGGGCGGGCCTTCATTAACGTCACACTTTCAGTCTGGAGAGTCACGCTTGACCGACCAGCCGGCTGTTTTACAATTTTTATCGAAGCGCAATTGTGTGTTTTTTATATATACAATACATTCCTTATTTACTACACCAGAACCCTGGTCAGATTTTTATTTCTGTCCCTGTTGTAGATTTCCTCTCACTTCCTGTCTGGTGAAGTGGTTGTCATCCAGAGAGGAAGTGAGAGGAAATCTTTCTAAATGAGCCCTGAATAGCAGGAAAAACTTTTGGCTTGACAAGCACCAGACTGTCCTTTAACATGGAAATTCTGTATTTACAGGTCTTCCAGAAGAGGTTTGATGGAACTGTAAACTTTTATCAAGGTTGGAAAGAGTATAAAGCCGGGATTGGAAGAGCGGATGGAGAGTACTGGTTGGGTAAAAACTTCAGACTTAATCTTTAATGTTCCTTTAAGTGCAACATAAATCATCTCACACAGATAAGTAGACAAAAGATTTACCTTAGATCTACATCTCCCAGCGAGTATTACTTCCTGAAGATCAGGGCCATACACAATAACATTGCACACAAGTGGGTGGAGTTGGGAATCTTTGGCCTACAAAATCATACATATTGAATTAAGTCCTTTTACTCTACTATGTTAGACTACATGGTCAAACGTTTGTGGACACCTGACCATCACACCTATATGAGCTTGCTGGAGGGGTGGAGGCTGTGATAACTGCAAAGGGGGGAACATCAGGTTCATAATAATAGCCATGGTTTTGGAATGGGGATGTTCCAAAACCATGGCCATTAATATGAACTTGATGAAACCCCCCCCCCTCCTTGTAGTTATCACAGCCTGCACTCTTCTAAGAAGGCTTTCCTCAAGATTTTGGAGTGTGCCTGTGGGAATTTTTGTCCATTCAGCCAAAAGAGCATTTGCAAGGTCAGTTACGAATGTTGGATGAGAAGACCTGGCTCACTATTAGTCGTCCTATTCCTCACGAAAGGTGTTCAACAGGGTTGAGGTCAGCACTTTGTGTGACCACTCGAGTTCCTCCACACTAGATTGGTCAAACCATGTCTTTATGGAGCTGGATTTGTATACAGGTCATGCCCAGGCACGCTGGAACCCAATAGGACCTTCTGTAAACTGTTGTCACAATTGTCTAACATGTCTTTGTATGCTGTAGCATTAGAAGCCCCTCTACTGGAAACACCTAAACACCATCATTGTGAGTTTTGTTTACCTTATTTTGGCCTTATAATGTATGTTCAGCCTAATAAATTCACACCTGTGTAGCAGTGCATTTCCTGGATGATACAGCAAAGCCCTGGACAGGTAGACTGTGTCAACCATATATGTTTTTAGATCATATTTCTCAGGTTAACTGCTTATAGTTTTTCTTCTTCAGGTCTACAGAATATCCACCTCCTAACCCTGAAGAAGTCCTATCGTCTCAGGATTGACCTGGAGGATTGGGACAATGTTGCTAGTTATGTGACCTATGAAAACTTCTCTCTGTCCCGTCTGGCCATCAACCCTGAAGAAGACGGCTACAAGCTGCACATCGAGCGTTTTACAGAGGGTGATCCGGCCAAACCTATTGGTATGGAAAATATCTTTATTATGTCGACATTGTACATTGTAACTCTTTCCTCACATGAGGCTCAACCATTATTGAGATGCACCATCTACCAGGCTACATGGAGAGTGTTCTTTTTACATCATCAGATATACAATTAGACACTCTGTCATGGGTTTATTACTGTCTCAGTTTCTTTTTGAATGAAATTGAAGGATTGCCTCCAGAACAGACATTGAGCCCCACAGACATTCTACCTTTTTGTCCCGCTGACCCCCTGTCTCAGACATGGCAAATAAAGGAGAAGGTACCACAGTACGGGCACAAGCTCTAATCTCTATTAGTTATTATTATTATATTAGTTTGTAGTAGAGTGAGGGCTAGAGCCCCTGACAGCTTCTTATTTTTGTGTCCCTGATGCCGATTTCCCCTCACTTCCTCTCTGGTAAAACCATTGTCACCAGGATAATTAGGGAGGGGAAGTGTCTCTAATCGAGCCACGAATAGCATTAAAACCTGACGGAGGTCCTAATCCCAAACCACTCCTTCCAGGGAGGCAGCCCCACAAGTAAGAGGACTGCAGGGAAGGGGACCCCGACCAGCCCCCCTGAGACCGTTCAGCGCCCACCGTAGAGAGTCTATGGTGGGTTCTGCAGGATCACTCTCAGGTGGGCTATGCAGGGTCTCTGGTATGTGCAGAGTCTCAGGTGAGCTCTGCGGGTTCTCAGGTGAGCTCTGCGGGTTACTGCAGGGTTTATGGTGGACTCTGCCGGGTCACTCTCAGGTGGGCTGTGCAGGGTCTCTCGTTTGTGCGGGGTCTCAGGTGGGCACTGTGGTAGGCTGTGTGGGGGTCTCAGGTGGGCTCTCCAGGGTCTCAGGTTGGCTCATTGGGGTTTCAGGTGGGCTCTGCAGGGTCCCCGGTGGGCTGTGCGTGGTCTAGGGTAGGCTCTGCAGCAGTGAGCGGCAGATTGATCTGATAACATCAAAGCCAGCAGGAGGAGAGCTGAAGAGAAGGAGATGGAGACGGCGCAGGCATGGGAATGTGTTCTGGAGGTAGGTTTTTTTGTTGGTAGGGGTGCGGTTTGAGGGGGCCCCATACACAATTTTGCTATGGGGCCCTGTGATTTCTAGTTACACCCCTGGTTACATTGTGCATTAACAAGTGTTATGTAACGGACAGGAAAATGCACATGGATGGTTTTACGACTCAGCGCACCACAATGTAAGGTATGTGGGTTGTGTGTTGGCCTCCACTATACAGGGCATTGGGCTGCCACACATAGATAAGCCTCAGAAAACCATTCAATAGACTTGCCTGTATCTCTACATCTGATGACCATCGTGACTCTCAATTTGCACCAAAGAGAAGTTTACACATTTTTTTCATCACATGATCACCTGGAATAGACAGGATCACTCTTTATATGTGTGTTTTAAAGGTTGCCTTTCTGTCTGCAGGAGATTCCCTGACCGAGTCCCTTGGTATGAAATTTTCCACCTATGACTACGACAGAGATATATGGAGCAGCAATTGTGCACAGAGCTTCTATGGTGCATTCTGGTACAGCAATTGCCACAGTTTCAACCCAAATGGGAAATACCAGAAAGGTGTCACCACAGAGTACGCTACTGGTCTGGTCTGGAACACTGCTAAAGGATACTACTACTCCTTTAAGAAGACGGTGATGAAGATAGCGCCATCTGTGCCGGCAGCCTGAAGACAGTTCTGTCTGTGCAAGGGTTTTAAGATGGAGCCGCTTGTGTCATCATTGTAACAACAGTAGAATCTGTATCAACACAATCCAGATACTTGTATAAATCAATCAATAAATCAATCACATGACTGCTATTCATGTTTATTGCCAAAAACAACTTTCATGACTTGGAGCTTACACGTGTCTGATGACTCTCTCCCCACCCCCAGGGGACAGGGGACAATCACCAAGCACCAGAGCTGTCCTGTTACAATAAGGGGATTGGAGTCATCTGCTACCCATACCGAGAAGTACAAGATAGTTGTATTTCTTCCCAAGTGGAAAAATGCGAATTGATAGGAGTTGAACTATTCACAAACCGCACTGAATCCATTTCAAGTTGTGGGTTCATTTTGCAATTCAGCCTTATCCAAAAGTGTCTTCACAGCCCAACACCAGATGATAGTTACAATCAGTCTTGCAGTAGCTACTCTGTGATGGGTAGAAGGTGAAAGGATGTAAAGTATAAGTAATGTAGACCCAATCATGAAATCTCATATAAGATTTAACATGTTAATGACATTTTATAAGTCATTTGCAATATTTTTAAGTCTTTTTTTCATTGAAAATAATCCCTGGTCATCCTGCTGTAGCCCTCATCACCTTCAGTGATGTGGCTACTAAACATTTAGTGTTTTGTAATGGCAATGAAATAGTTAATTCCAGCTGTCTGGCATTGCCTGTACCCCCTGGGTGGAGTGTGACTCTGTCATATTGTGGGACAGCCAATGAGAGGCACTGTAGTGTATGTACAGTACAGTAGCCAATGATTGAGTTTCTCTCTCAGCCAGTGGTGCATGCTGGGATAGGGTACATATATTGGTGGGATTTGCCATGTGCTCAGACTAGCCGGGACCAGCCATTGAATAGGGCTGGGTGCTGTTCAGCCTGCCCCCCAGGCTAAGCCTAAGGCCTGGGAGTGGGCATGGGCTGGTGTGAGTGAAAGGTGTACATGAGGCCTCAACATGGAGGAGGCATGTGATGCTGATAGAGGAAGAGAACCGGGACCAATGCAGGCTCTTGAAGTACCCTGGAACTGAGAGGACTTCAGGAGTATGTTCGGTGTCTTTCCTGCTTGAGGATCTGAATCCCTCCTGTCTAGCTGCTACATCAGTCGCTGTCCACTGTCTCCCAAGTGGATCTACACTGATATATATATACAAAGTCTGGTGAGTCTGGAGTGCCTGTTGGTTACCCCTGGACACTTAGAACCCCCATAACCTCTCTTCCCAGTGAAGATGTTTAATAAAAGGTTATTCAGCATTTTACTACTGGAGTGGACATCAGTTTATGGGCACCAAAAGAAGGGGGGTGGATGCTAATGGGTGGGTAGCTGAAGAACATACCCTAGACAAACTAGATATGAACCGGGCATTCAGCGGCTCCTTCGGGGGTGAACGCTACACTGCCTTAAGGGTCCTTGTTTAGACACTTCCTGTTATAGGGTGACAATGCTTTGTTCCTGTGTTGTCACCCTGTCACATGGCCTTCTGATGAACATTACTTTGTGGCGTTTTACCTGGTACAGAACAGAAGGCAGCTGCAGTGGAGAAGACATTAATATATTTATCCAATCACAGGGAATTTAGGTAGATGGAGGACGTGTCTTGGGTGGGTTCCTAAGCATGTTGCTCATTGGAACATAGAGGATAATGTGTGGGGTCTGCGGTGGGAGATAGCAGTAATGGAGGGAGGTGAGGATGATAGTAAGGACATCAGCAGCATCCTATGAGTGATTTGTATTTGAACACAGAAGAGAGCCCAAGCCGACCAGGTGGACAGAAAGTTTGTGATTGTGTCTGAGGCAATGGTTCTTTCCTCTTTCATCTTACAAAAAAGAGTTGGTTTGGCTGACCCTGTCCAGTAGGGTGAGGGCTAGGATTTCCAGTGGAAGCAGATGAAGACCTTTGTGGAATTTATTTGCAGCTGAGTAGGAGATATTCTTATATTTCAGTGAGTTGGTCTCTTAAATGTAGGAGACAAAGTTATGGGATTAGTGTAATAGTATTGCCTGAAATGTTGGCCAATGTTTCTGCGAATGAATCCCAAAAAGGATTAATTTCTGTCACATTCCCACCAGATGTAGAAGGTAGATTATTTCTCATTGGAGCATTTCCATCACAAAGCTGAAGCAGAAGGACATAGTCTATGTAGCTTACTGGGAGTGAGATACCATTGGGCCGGCAATTTGTATGATGTTCCTTGCATTCTGGTTCTTCTCTGTGGGCTGGTTGGCATGCGGAATTCCATTGTTGATCAATAAATTACATTTTTTTAAATTTTTATTAATTGTAATTCTGATTTTTGTCCTTTCATGTGCACATCAGAGTAAACAGGACATGGAACAGGGAAGTCACAGGGAAAGGATGCATTTTCTTGGGGTGTGGTGACCCAACCAAAGTCCTATTGAGACATACCGGATCGCACTGTATATATAACGTGTGTTTTAGCACAGCAACTGTCCAGACCGAAAGCCCGGACACATCCCGACATACCATCTGACTCGTACAGTCTCGTGTAAGTTGCAAAACACAAGTTTAACGGAAACTTACAGAGGGTGATCCGGACAAACCTATCGGTATGGAAAATATCTTTATTATGTTCACATTGTACATTGTTACCGTTTCCTCACATGAGGCTCAACCATTATTGAGATGCACCATCTACCAGGCTACATGGAGAGTGTTCTTTTTACATCATCAGATATACAATTAGACACTCTGTCATGGGTTTATTACTGTCTCTGTTTCTTTTTGAATGAAATTGAAGTATTGCCTCCAGGACAGACATCGAGCCCCACAGACATTCTAAACCTTCTCACTGTATTAAAAAAATATGTGTTATTCTCTGTGTGTCATTGGGGGGTTTCTTTTACCTTTTTGTCCCGCTGACCAGCCGTCTCAGACATGGCAAATAGAGGAGAAGGCACCACAGTATGGGCACAAGCTATAATATCTATTAGTTATTATTATTATTATATTAGTTTGTAGTAGAGTGAGGGCTAGAGTCCCTGACAGCTTCTTATTTTTGTGTTCCTGGTGCAGATTTCCCCTCACTTCCTGTCTGGTAAAACCATTGTCACCAAGATAATTAGGGAGGGGAAGTGTCTCTAATCGAGCCACGAATAGCATTAAAACCTGACGGAGGTCCTAATCCCAAACCACTCCTTCCAGGGAGGCAGGCCCACAAGTAAGAGGAGTGCAGGAAAAGGGACCCAGACCAGCCCACCTGAGACCCTGCAGAGCCCACCATAGAAAGTCTATGGTGGGTTCTGCAGGATCACTCTCAGGTGGGCTGTGCAGGGTTTCTCGTTTGTGCGGGGTCTCAGGTGGGCACTGTGGTGGGCTGTGTGGAGATCTCAGGTTGGCTCATTGGGGTTTCAGGTGGGCTCTGCAGAGTTTCAGGTTGGCTCTGCAGGGTGTCAGGTGGGCTCTGCAGGGTCCCCGGTGGGCTGTGCGTGGTCTAGGGTGGGGTCTGCAATTGTCCTTTCATGTGCACATCAGAGTAAACAGGACATGGAACAGGGAAGTCACAGGGAAAGGATGCATTTTCTTGGGGTGTGGTGACCCAACCAAAGTCCTATTGAGACATACCGGATCGCACTGTATATATAACGTGTGTTTTAGCACAGCAACTGTCCAGACCGAAAGCCCGGACACATCCCGACATACCATCTGACTCGTACAGTCTCGTGTAAGTTGCAAAACACAAGTTTAACGGAAACTTACAGAGGGTGATCCGGACAAACCTATCGGTATGGAAAATATCTTTATTATGTTCACATTGTACATTGTTACCGTTTCCTCACATGAGGCTCAACCATTATTGAGATGCACCATCTACCAGGCTACATGGAGAGTGTTCTTTTTACATCATCAGATATACAATTAGACACTCTGTCATGGGTTTATTACTGTCTCTGTTTCTTTTTGAATGAAATTGAAGTATTGCCTCCAGGACAGACATCGAGCCCCACAGACATTCTAAACCTTCTCACTGTATTAAAAAAATATGTGTTATTCTCTGTGTGTCATTGGGGGGTTTCTTTTACCTTTTTGTCCCGCTGACCAGCCGTCTCAGACATGGCAAATAGAGGAGAAGGCACCACAGTATGGGCACAAGCTATAATATCTATTAGTTATTATTATTATTATATTAGTTTGTAGTAGAGTGAGGGCTAGAGTCCCTGACAGCTTCTTATTTTTGTGTTCCTGGTGCAGATTTCCCCTCACTTCCTGTCTGGTAAAACCATTGTCACCAAGATAATTAGGGAGGGGAAGTGTCTCTAATCGAGCCACGAATAGCATTAAAACCTGACGGAGGTCCTAATCCCAAACCACTCCTTCCAGGGAGGCAGGCCCACAAGTAAGAGGAGTGCAGGAAAAGGGACCCAGACCAGCCCACCTGAGACCCTGCAGAGCCCACCATAGAAAGTCTATGGTGGGTTCTGCAGGATCACTCTCAGGTGGGCTGTGCAGGGTTTCTCGTTTGTGCGGGGTCTCAGGTGGGCACTGTGGTGGGCTGTGTGGAGATCTCAGGTTGGCTCATTGGGGTTTCAGGTGGGCTCTGCAGAGTTTCAGGTTGGCTCTGCAGGGTGTCAGGTGGGCTCTGCAGGGTCCCCGGTGGGCTGTGCGTGGTCTAGGGTGGGGTCTGCAGCAGTGAGTAGGTTTTTTTGTTGGTAGGAGGGCGGTTTGAGGGGGCCCCATACACAATTTTGCTATGGGGCCCTGTGATTTCTGGTTACACCCCTGGTTACATTGTACATTAACAAGTTTTATGTAACGGACAGGAAAATGCACATGGATGGTTTTACAACTCAGCGCACCACAATGTAAGGTATGTGGGTTGTGTGTTGGCCTCCACTATACAGGGCATTGGGCTGCCACACATAGATAAGCCTCAGAAAACCATTCAATAGACTTGCCTGTATCTCTACATCTGATGACCATCGTGACTCTCAATTTGCACCAAAGAGAAGTTTACACATTTTTTAATCACATGATCACCTGGAATTGACTCGGTTTGAGACAGGATCACTCCACCCCTTTAAATGTGTTTTTTTATAAGGTTGCCTTTCTGTCTGCAGGAGATTCCCTGGCCGAGCACGTTGGTATGAAATTTTCCACCTATGACTATGACAGAGATATATGGAGCAGCAATTGTGCACAGAGTTGCTATGGTGCATTCTGGTACAGCGATTGCTACAGCTCCAACCTAAATGGGAAATATCATGTCACCACGGAGTATGCTACTGGTCTGGTCTGGAAAACTGCTAAAGGATACTACTACTCCTTTAAGAAGACGGTGATGAAGATAGCGCCATCTGTGCCGGCAGCCTGAAGACAGTTCTGTCTGTGCAAGGGTTTTAAGATGGTGCCGCTTGTGTCATCATTGTAACAACAGTAGAATCTGTATCAGCACAATCCAGATACTTGTATAAATCAATCAATAAATCAATCAATCAATCACATGACTGCTATTCATGTTTATTGCCAAAAACAGCTTTCATGACTGGGAGCTTACACGTGTCTGATGACTCTCTCCCCACCCCCAGGGGACAGGGGACAATCACCAAGCACTAGAGCTGTCCTGTTACAATAAGGGGATTGGAGTCATCTGCTACCCATACCGAGAAGTACAAGATAGTTGTATTTCTTCCCAAGTGGAAAAATGCGAATTGATAGGAGTTGAACTATACACAAACCGCACTGAATCCATTTCAAGTTGTGGGTTCATTTTGCAATTCAGCCTTATCCAAAAGTGTCTTCACAGCCCAACACCAGATGATAGTTACAATCAGTCTTGCAGTAGCTACTCTGTGATGGGTAGAAGGTGAAAGGATGTAAAGTATAAGTAATGTAGACCCAATCATGAAATCTCATATAAGATTTAACATGGTAATGACGTTTCAGAAGTCATTTGCAATATTTTTAAGTCTTCTTTTTTTCATGGAAAATAATCCCTGGTCATCCTGCTGTAGCCCTCATCACATTCAGTGATGTGGCTACTAGACATTTAGTGATTTGTAGTGGCAATTATATGGTTAATTCCAGCTGTCTGGCATTGCCTGTACCCCCTGGGTGGAGTGTGACTCTGTCATATTGTGGGACAGCCAATGAGAGGCACTGTAATGTATGTACAGTACAGCAGCCAATGACTGAGTTTCTCTCTCAGCCAGTGGTGCATGCTGGGATAGTAGTCAGTGTACCCATTGCACTCCTTACCGCTAAATCCTTGATGAATGGGTTGGGTGCATCAGTAGTAGACGGATGGCCACCGTCCAGGCAAAGTATAAAGAGTTATGGACACCGGCACTCCAAAGTAGAAAAACTTCTTTTATTGACGCATCATGCAACAATACACTTATTGCAACGTTTCGGGGTCACACAGGATCCCCTTCATCAGGCAGAACAAGTTCTGCCTGATGAAGGGGATCCTGTGTGACCCCGAAACGTTGCAATAAGTGTATTGTTGCATGATGCGTCAATAAAAGAAGTTTTTCTACTTTGGAGTGCCGGGGTCCATAACTCTTTATACTTTGCCTGGACGGTGGCCATCCGTCGACTACTGATGCACCCAACCCATTCATCAAGGATTTAGCGGTAAGGAGTGCAATGGGTACACTGACTATTA